CCACAAAGGTGAGTATTTGGTGTATAAAAAAGGAGTATAGGAAAACAGAATATGCATCTGGGTTGTCTTTAAAATAGTTGAAAAAAACATTATTTTCATTTAAAGAAAAGAGTTTGGATTTTATCAAGTAGATTTATTTGGATAATAGTAGGTTATTGGCAGGTTTTTCTGAACAAAATGAGTACAATCATGCTTGGATTGAACCAAACCTGGATCAAAAGCAAAGGTATCGTTGACAGATTAACTTGGGTGAAAAAAAATGTATGTGGTTGTTTCCTTAAAAAATAAGCTTCAACATTATGTATAATATAGTATTTTCCCTTTTTTTGCATAGGAAAATAATCTCAGAGCTGTACATAAATTTTACATTATGAAGGTATTTTGACAATTTGATATACATTTGGATATAATTATCTGGTCTAGTTACAGTTTGTTTGGATTAAACCAAAACTGGACAAAAAGTAATGAAGGCTTTATTTAAACTGTGGCCAAATATTTATCTAAAGACACAGCCAATGATTTATTCAGACGCAATTTTTAAAATACTGTGGGGAAACGATAGCCTGGCTCTCACCAGACCCTTGTAGTTCCGCCATGCTCCACCAGAGGCGTTTCGCGTCACGCGCAAGGGTCTGGTATCAAGCGCATACCAAACTCCTTAAGTAGATCAGAAGATAATCGACCAATCAGGATCGCCAGTGTTACATCTGGTTTGCACAGCCTTCTCAAGCGTGTCTCACGCGGCAGCGAAAGCAATCCAATATGAGGCGAGATGGAGATGGTTCTATGTTGTTATATGAGTCAAATGTTCGTGTAAAGTTTGATTTAAGTACTAGTTTAAGTGTTCCTGTTTACAACACTACGCAGCAGGGTTGCCAGGTTGGGTGGTTTCCTGGAAAATCTTGCCGGCATTTGGCAACCCAAGGGAGTCGTGTGCTTCGATGTGAGTGGTTGAAGGAAGACATCGTTCAAGATAACGGACAAGTGGTTTATCCAATCACATACAAGAATTTTTTTTCACAAGGCCCCGCCTTCTGAAATCCAACCGCTATGGCTCAGACCCAGACCCTTGTGAGAAGCGCAGCAATCTACAAGGGTCTGGCAAGAGTCAGGCTAGGGAAATTTCCCTAAACACCAAAAAGTGGTCAAGTTATCATGTGTTTTCAAATAGGAATGGATATGACCAAGTGCCTGTAGGCTCAAAAAGTAACTCATAAATATTGTGGAGAAACCAATGCAATGCGTTCATCCCCCCCTCGAACCAATGGGATATGTTCATCAGCCCCTACCCCTCATCTGTCTGAGTCGGATTTTCCAAAAAACAATGGCTGAACCGAAAACCTCCAAATTGCCAATTTCACATTTGCCACTGTTGTAGCAAATAAAATGAAAAAAGGCGTTTTAAAAGAAGACTCGGAACGCAGCCAGGGCTATATAATTCAACGGCCCTAATGTAGTGTAATGCTTTCACATTTCAAGTCGCAATGTGATAACGGACAAGCTTCGTCACAGACTGCGTTATTACAAAAATGGCGTTCATGTGTCCTGGGAGTTGGGTTTGGTGGAGGGCAGGGGGAGTGTGCTACTCGGATGCTAATGCTAAGCTAACATACATCCTTTACTGCACCTTTAATATATTAGATATAACTAAAATTATATCAATAGCGCACTCACCTCTGTGCAAAAGGTTTGTGTGGAAAATGGGATTACAGCTCGTTATGGAGGTATTTTGAACAAATTGTTAATTTTATAGAATGTGGGTTTGGATATTGGTACAATGAGTACAATTGGATTGAACTAAACCGCGAATGATAAACTTCAAATTTTTTGTTCAGTGATCAGAGTAAAAAATTTACAAGTGGTTGTGTTCTTGAGAAACTGAACATCATGTTATGTATAATATCGCCTAGAGTCATTCTACAATATTATTTTGCATAGGAAAACAACCTCAGAACTGTCTGCGTTCAGTAACGGGTGGTCTTACGGCAATAAATAAATAAGTAAACGCATCACTGATTCCCTCGCCATGTGTTAGAAGTGATAAGGTGCAGAGAGCGGACCTTTGCACCCGGCCCCAATCTGATTGTAGCACGATCAGAGGCCAGTGTGCTGTTTACACCCAAAGCCTCTATGACACAGAGCCAGCTCCATATTACGCTGCTGCTATCTCCAAGGAGGGGGAAAACAAGCCACACAACATGCTACAGTGCCTTTGGGTGAACTCGATCAATTGGGATGCTGCTGGGAAAGGTTATCAAGCAGAGAGGCCAGCTTCCCAGAATCCCTCACTGCCCTTGTGTTATTGGTTTGAGACATTGATCCTGCACAAAAGACTGGGCAAAATAGCCTCTATTAATCATAAGATAAACAAAGAACAAAGTAAACTGATGTTTGAAATGAGAGGAAACAATTTGTAGAGAACCAGGACTGTTGTAGCTTTAAACAGCAGCTCATCCACCAGCAGCTCACTCCTCCATCTTCTCCCAATGTTGCTGCTCCATCCTTCCCAGCGCCAACCCACCTGTTTTCTGCCTTCACATTACCATGTGTTATCCAAATCTCCACCCTTATCCAGAAATCCAAAACCTCCTCCTGCCAACTTGACCCCCTCCCCACTGCTCTCGTTAAAGCCTCCACTCCTGCAATCTCCCCTCTCATAACTAACATAATTCAAGCCTCCCTAACCACTGGTACTGTACCCCTTCCTCTTAAAACTGCGGCTGTCACTCCCATTCTCAAGAAACCTGGCTCTGATCCTTCTGACCTCAATAACTTCCGCCCCATTTCAAACCTTCCCTTCATCTCCAAACTACTTGAAAAAACTGTTGCTGCCCAACTCCACGCCCACCTCTCCTCCAATAACCTATATGAACAATTTCAATCTGGCTTCCGTTCCCTCCATAGTACTGAAACTGCCCTCCTGAAAATCACCAACGACCTTCTCCTCTCTGCTGACTCCGGTTCACTCTCCATCCTCCTCCTGCTTGATCTCAGCGCAGCCTTTGACACTATCTCCCACCCCATCCTTCTGGACAGACTCTCCTCCATTGGCATCACAAACACTCCCCTCTCCTGGTTCTGCTCCTACCTTTCTGACCGCACCCAGTTCATCCAGCTCAAATCTTTTACTTCCCGTCCCTTCCCAGTCACTTCAGGGGTTCCCCAGGGTTCTGTCCTCGGCCCCATCCTGTTCCTAATCTATCTTCTCCCCCTTGGTTACATCTTCAGAAAACACCACATTCACTTTCACTGCTACGCGGATGACACCCAGCTCTACATCTCCAGTAAACCAAATTCCACACTCCCACCGTCCTCTCTCACCAACTGCCTCCATGAAATAAAGTCCTGGTTCACTTCAAACTTTCTCAAACTCAACAGCAATAAAACTGAACTCCTCCTCATTGGCACCAAATCCACCCTAAATAAAATCAGCAATTTCTCCATTCCCATTGACGGCTCCTCCATTTCCCCCTCCCCTCAGGTGAAGAGTCTGGGTGTCACCCTCGATAGCACCCTCTCCTTCACCGCACACATCAATAGCATCACCCGCATCGCCTACTTCCACCTCAGAAATATCCGCCGGCTCCGCCCTTCTCTTTCCCCTCACACCACTGCCATACTTGTACACAGCCTCGTCACCTCTCGTCTCGACTACTGTAATTCCCTGCTGTTTGGTCTCCCTCAAAAAACTCTACATAAACTCCAACTGGTCCAAAATGCAGCCGCCCGCATCATCACACACACCCCCTCCATAAACCACATCACTCCTGTCCTTCAAACAGCTCCACTGGCTCCCCATCACCCACCGCATCCAATACAAAATCCTGCTCCTCACATTCAAAGCAATCCACAAGCTCGCTCCTCCATACCTGACTGACCTCCTCCATGTCTCCACACCTGCCCGCTCTCTCCGCTCCTCCTCCTCTCTCCGGCTCACTGCTCCCCCTCCCGCCCATCTCGTCACCATGGGGAGTAGAGCCTTCAGTCGCTCTGCTCCCCAGCTCTGGAACACTCTCCCTCCTGACCTCCGTAACACCGACTCACTCCCACACTTCAAATCCATCCTCAAAACTCATCTGTTTAGACAAGCCTACTCACTGTGACCACAACTGTATGTTTTATTCATGCTGTTTTAACATTGTATTTTAACTGTTTTTAATTGTTGATGTTAATTTACTTGTTGTTGTGAGGCGACCTTGAGTGTCTTGAAAGGCGCCTAAGAAATAAAATGCATTATTATTATTATTATTATCTTAGCAAATATGTAGCATAATGCAATTTGACAGAGGAAATGGCCATAATGAGATACTACTGTATGACGTAGTAATTAGTATTTGGTGAAATTGAAACAGAGTTCTGGGGATAATCTTAGAAAGCCTTCACCATACAATACAACTGCAGATAGTCTAATCTAAATTGTGCATAATCTGTGTCTTTTCTTTGTTAGACAAGAAACCCCCCCACCGACCCAGAAATGGATGAAGGGGAGGACAATGGATGGATGGATGAACGCTATTGCTCCCAGGTATAGAACTATAGCTCACCTTTTTTCCTGCAATGTGCTTTTTCAGCTACTCGCTCTGGCCCATTTTGACTTACAATGAATAGTGAACTCCTCTGACTTTTGGCAATAAAATCTGTGGTTTAGCGCTTTCTATGATCATGGTGTTTGCATTTTGATACAGTATGAGCCTTAATGACTGACCAATCAGGGGGAATCTCCAGCTTGCCTTCACAACCATGTTAGCAAACCCAATCTGAACAAAGGGTTAGGGTTAGGCCCATACTATAAGGAAATTGGCTCCAGCTACTTATGTTCAAATGTCCTCCTTACGCGTTCAGTAAAGACATCAGACATCAGCACCCGGTTAGTACACTCCTAATATACGAACAATGCTCACACTCCACACACAGCCCCCCTGTGGTACAATGCAGTGAGAAAACTGGAAAACACAAACTAAAAATCTGTAAAGGAGCTATTAAAGTACCTGTCCCTTTACCTGTAAATAGATACATTTTCTATGAGGTCAGCAGTATCTGTGTCTGTGATGACGATTCCTTTGGGGGAAACTGTAAGCGTGACTTTTCTGAACTTCTTGGCGCTGGCTCGGGCCTGTGGGGATAAAAAATACAAACACATGTTATTGTTAGAATTGTGTATTGTCCAGACAAAGGTAACAATGATATGTCTGCCGAATACCCTAATTATGTCTCCACTGTGACTGTATCCGCTGAGCAAAACGGGCCACGCAGGGAGAAGGAAATGTCCCAGAAACATGTTGGATTTATGAAAAGTGACAGTAGGGGAAAGTGGGCAGAACGAGAGGTTTGTGGCAGCAGCGTGTCCTCCTGCTGCGCTGCTCCATCTGCGCCGACACACTAATACCATAATGGTGCTGAGCTCGCGGTCTGTGGGAGCAACTGTTGACCTCTTTAGTGTGCAATTAGCTGATAGTGAAGGAAAGATTTCAACAATTCCACACTATTTGGACTCCTGTGGATTGTGACACTCCTGATGATATAAGCGTTTTTACACTCCTCTCCAAATCTGTGGCCAGGCACCGTATGGCATAGTGGTTGGTTTGTTCAGTTTAATAACGTGATCTTTTAGTTAGTTAGTTTGAAAAGTTTATGTACGATTTGTTTCCATGCTATCTACTGTATCTATCTGTTTATCTTATTAGTAGTGATCTGTGGTGGACTTGTCTTTCTGTCTCTGATTTTGCGAGTGTTGAAAACACATTTTGTAAAGCATAACTCTAAAATTATCAAAGTGAATGTTTGGTGCATTATGTATGTACCTTGTGGCTGTAAGAGTGGGCATCACTTTAACTTTTGATCAGGTATGTTTGACTTGGTATGTTTTCTGGTGCGGGGATCTTTGTTTACACCTGCGTGTGCATGCGCCCCTCGCTGGGTGGCAAAAAGACAGAGTGGCCCTTACTGAAGCATGGATACGACAAGAACTTTTAAAAGACTCAGTGTGCAAATAGCACTGTATATAAGCGCTTATTCATACACAAGGCAACTCAAAGTGCTGAACAAAACAAGAAAACATTAAAATCATAAATAATCACAGAACATTAAAAAGGAAGATTAAAATATAAAATCCCTCAGTTGTATGCACAGCTAAACAGAACCGTTTTTAACCTAGTTTTAAACATTGTCAGAGAGGAGGCCTGTCTCACATCTTCAGGGAGATTATTCCAGATTTTAGAAGAAGATCAGAGGAGACAAGACAAGCTAAAAATAAGTATATGAGACCGAACTGAACAAATCCAAAGCCCATATGAGACCTGGGATGACGAGAAAAAACATTGTTCGGACACGCCTCTGTCTTGGCACCAATCTGCTGGGACCGGGAGACATTCATTCTTACTTCATAGAAAACCCTTCACGCAAGAAGGGTCCCTGGTGAAAATCCATTTCTTGCGTTTTTCCCCGAGGTAAAGTGGCCCGGCATTTTGCCGTCGCAGTGAAGTGGTCCACAAATTAAAAGCGGGTTGCCCTTTTTTACTGTTACTTACGGTAAACGTGAGCAACCAAAATGCAATGTTCAAAATGAATTATCACAGTGAACAAGTTTGCAGTGAAAGCAGTTGCAAAACTTAAATTTGTTTATGATTTTTTATCCCCTCATCCCCCCGGCTTCCCGGTCTCGTTTACCGTAGGTAACAGCATAAAAGGGCAACCACTTTACCGCGGCCGTTTTTTTGCTGTTCTTTTCCAAAAGAATTAGAAAAAAACGTAATCTGTTCCCAGCGGGCCGAACAACCAACCACACAACAAGAATGGACCATTTGATTTAGTAAAACCTCTCTACAAACGTCTAAAACTAGCTAACTCTCTAGCATCCAGGTAGCTTTCTATGCTGTTTTGCCACCCGGTCACGTGACCGGCGCGGAAAAACTATAAACAACAACATCACTCCAAGATCCTCCTGTTGATCCTAGAGCATCCTACAGATCACTGTGATGGAAAGTAATGCCACTCATACAGACACTGGGTCAAATATGCAAAAATATAAACTTTTTCACATAAAATGTTCCTTTAACAACATTGATGTACCATAACCAAATGCCTATTTACGTAATGGATTTAATAAAAGACTATTTTGGAAAATCATTTTCACGATTAATCTTTTTGTTACTTAGAACCATGGTTCCAAACCTTTTCTGGATTAGATAACTCCTCGACAGCTTGTTCTGCTTATAGATCATCTTTTGCATCTAATAATCTTTTTTTATTTGTTTTGAATAATTATTTAAATTGAATTTAACATGAGCGCTTGAGCTCATCTATATATAGAGACTTATTGGGATTTTTTATATATATATATATATACATATATTATATTTAATAAAATAAAAAATAAAAATTGTAAAAAAAAGGGAACTAATTCAGTTGGATAAATCAATGCCCAGCCTTGATGTATACATGTTTATACCAATTTTAAAAAGTAAAATAATTCAAATCATATGTTGGAAGATTTATGAAGTAGAAAATGAAACAAAGTGCTGACAACGAAACGGAGCTGAAGATAAAAAGAAGAGAATGTACTTCTGCAAAACTAGGACTTTCCAAGGACGGCGCGCTGCGTAATGCCCTGGAGGAGGACCGTGTGGATGTGCCACACTTAAAACAAGAGACTGACATTGTGCTCGACAGCTCGGCAGACTGTGGAGCTCATTTGTGTGATACTGATAATAACCATATTCTCTGCCATATTTGTGTCAAGCCACGAGGCAAAGAACAAAAAAATATCTGTTGAATTCAGCTACAGTACAAGTTTCTGTCCAACATTTGGTCCTTGGGTTTTTTCATTCGAGTCAATGACAAAACACAGCATTAATATTCTATTCGGTTTAAACAGACCACAACTTTTGGGTTTTTTAGAAAAATATGTGTAAATTGGCTCATTGGCAATACACATTTTCTAGAAGTGGAATGTCTATGAAGATGCTTGTCAAAGCTAAATAAAACATCCTTGTACAGGACTGCATTTTCTGTTGCCCAAATTGGGGGAAAAAAAGTCTAATTTTACCGAAAGTTCCGCTGCTCGAACAATGTTTAACTGATCAAAATTTCACAAAATCAAAATGAAGGCAGGTGGGTCCGGCCTTACCGGCAAATATGTAAAGAAAAAATTTAGTGCTATTGTGCCACAGCGCCTTAATGGCGAAGTGGCACGCTCTCTGCCAAAACAATTTCCAAGTGGTAACTTTGTTTGTTACTTACGTGGCAATAAAAATTATTCTGATTCTGTATTATTTCAATGTAAATTCTGATTTTGCATATTTTTGTCATTTTTTGTCATAATTGACAGAACGGAGGACTCACGCTCACGCCAATTTTTCTATACTGCCTACTTTGACCACGCATGTGCTCCTGGGCCACAAAACGTGAGCTTTCCATTTTCCCTGTTCAGTGCCTATGGGTTTGGCCCGTGTTACTCAGACGCAGTGACTTGGATTAAAGCAGGTTTATGTGAGTTTAGACACACGTTTGTCAGTGTCTTGTGCTGTCAGCTCCTGCACATCCATGATACAGTATCAATTATACAATAATCAACAACCCATTACTCCAACTGACACTCATTTAACGTTTGTAACTTTGAAACCAAAAGATATGGACCCATGTAATACAATCCATGTCACTTGGTCTTAAACAGTTTGCATCCATCACTAGTTTTCACTCCATATATTTTTGGCTACTGTCCCATCTAGCTCAGCTCAGAAACCTGAAAAAGAGAGTACCACCCTCACTCAGCCAATCAGCTCCCAGCCCAGAGGTGCTCACAGGGCTCTCTCTTACAGTATGCCAAAGATGACATGTTTCTTATTATTGTCTCATTTGTTCTCCGTCTGTTGAGACATATAGTTCATGGGGTAAAATGTGTCCCCAGCTTTAATTACAAAGAAGACTTGAAGGAATGCAACTGGAAATCTCTTTAAATTCAATATTAATCTGTAAGAACCAATTTCCAATTACTTAGGGATAAAACGTGAACAAATCTGTGGTAACAAAGGCAGAAAACACTTTAAGACAATAAAGTGCATGTACAAAGAAACTTTTTATAATATAAAGTTGAGCCAACGAGTTTTGACATAAGCCTTTGTCAGGGCATGTCTTTCCTTAAAGCTGGGGTACCTAACTTTCAATCCACAACAAATATGAGACAAAGAAACAAAATAACTGTCCTCAAAGGGCCAGTGTTCCTGAGTCAAATACATTAAGCTTCTATCAATAGTTTTCACAGGGCTCCTGTCACATCTTTTGATCCGCTTTTTCAGACAGAAAAGTGAAAAAAAGAGGACCACCCTCACTCAGCCAATCAGCGCTCAGAACAAAGTGTAAAATAGTGACTCACAGGGCTCTTTCTTACATGAATCTTATTGAATGTAAAACAGCATGTTGAGGTCTGCACTTTCTGTTGTTTTCATAAATCATGTATTATTTATGAAAACAAAAATATGAAAGCAACTGATAGAACTAGAATCAAGTAGTTCCATCTATAGTTCAATTTAATGTGATTTGAAAGTTAGGCACCCCAGCTTTAACTCGTTCGTTTATGTTCTCAGGTCTCGATGACATTAAGAATATTAGGTTGAAGAAGTGTCTGTAGTGAGGTGTTTGCAGTGTTGTTTGACATGTTCTGTTCCTCCTCCATAGATCCTTGTGCCTTGTGCCACACCCCCCCAGAACTCAAGACCCCCAAACCTCCAGAACTCAAGACCCCCAAACCTCCAGACCCCTAGACCCCAGACCCCCAGACCTTGTGCACAGGACTCGGCTCTGAAGCTAAGTCCTCACTCACTCTCACGATGCCTGGCTCCTCAGCTGCCAGCTTTTCTCTGTCCGGGAGGATCTCTCTGTACTCCTCTTCTTCTCTGCTCCCTCGCCCTTCTATTCCTCTTCCTCCCCCTCCTCCTCCTTCTCCTCCTCCTGCTAAGGCTAAGGCTAAGTCCAAGGCTAAGGCTAAGGCTAAGGCCAAGGCCAAGGCCAAGTCTCGCTCTGCTCCTAAGTTCCCTAAGCCTTACTCTGCTCCTGCTGTTCTGCGCCTGGTCCCAGTTTCTTGGCTACGCACTGTGCATCCTGGCAGGCTCCTCTCTC